GAGCAAAACGCGTGATATTCAGGAAGCTCACCAGTGTGCTAGTTAATGGGGCAGTTGTTAAAGCTCCAGCCGAATCTCAGTGGCCTTATGGAGATCGACCACGGGCAGCCCGATTAGCATGGCATCCAACAACAAACCTGAGAAGTCATCAAAACGAACATTCCGAGTCATCCCCAAGCCAGCAAACGTTTTTCTCAAACGCATCCCATTCCGTTAAAACGTTGTTTTCGATAGTCATTTAGGCATGTTAACAAGAGGAGATGCTACTTTAATCAACCAGATCGAGTGTAGCGAACGCTCGGAATAAAAATAATATTAATAATGTTACGAACATTTGTCTCACTCAATTTTATAGCCAACTATTAGAGTTCCGTGCTTGTTTTGGTCAAAGTCCCTCGTTTTTTTCAAAACGTGTTGAAATGTCTGGCTATGAAGATCAAGTAAATAACTTGTGCTGACCAAACTTTATACGAAACTATGTACGTTTTAATTCTGAGAAGTCTGGACTATTTCTAAACTTTGTTCCATTTTTACTTACTGATTTACAACAAAAAATTGCTTCTCACTTGTTTCCCTGCGTGCATAACACATCTGGCTGGTGTAGTTGTTCTCAGGGGCGGTTCGTAAGTACTATGAAAACAGTGTGTTTAGATACCAAAACTTTTTATTTTATTGCATAGAGGACTTTGAGATATTTTAAGTTAAGTTTGGTGGAATGCGTTCAGCTGGATTTGGAACCAGATTGTTTGTGCATGCAAGCAGGCAATTGCTTTGCTTCCTCCAAACTTTGCCTTTTATGCTCTCGTTGCTCCTACAAACAGCTAAACTTTAATTACATCCGTGAAGCAAATTATGGTACGATGTCACTACCACAAAATTATAGCGGAAATGCTACGGAGGCAGCCGACTGTGTGTGGTCTTTATGGCAAAGTTTTCGTCCTCCTGCACTCACTGGTAGATTAGAGATTACCTTTAAACTGATGCGAGATCGTACGAAAGCGTTTTGCTGTTGAATGAATTTTTCCGTTTTCCACGACATTTTCATCTGTACTTTTTTCCTTACTGATTGAATTTAATACTCTACTGCGATTCGCTTAATGTCCCTTTCAACAGTTCTGGCAGGGTTTAGTTCGAAACCTTGCCGAACAATCTGAGATATTAGGACATTTTAGAAATCGAATCAAAAACTAGCAATGAAGTTAATAGGACAGAAGCCTCCGACGAAATGCATAGTAATAGTATGTGTAAAGGCGAAACGCCGACAAATGAAAGATAGAAAACCGCATTCTGGCACTGCAAAAGACTTTTTACTAATTTCCAAACTTTAGCATAATTCATATCGGAACACACATCTACCAGGTCACCTTCTGATAATTGGAAAATCGTGAATATCAGAGTTTGTTGCCTTTAAAAGGAAATTCGTACCGGAAATTCACAACTCCTCCCGCCAGGAAGTTTTCAACGTTTTCCGAGACAGAAGTTTGTATGATAAACCTAACACTTGATGAACTAAGGGTGTGGTAGCACCTAGCACTGTCAATGGATTATCATTCGAAGAAATTTCTTAGAGGATAGCCGGATTTTGAATTTTTATTTTTACTTTTCTATGCCGCTACGTCTATTTTCCGCTACCAGCTTACTTCAAAATTGGCATAGCAGTATAAAAACTATCAGCAAAAGTCATCAAAAATGGCCAATTATTTAGCTTTTGAAGACACTGACATGAATATGAGAGCGTTAGGCTGAGCCCTTTATGGGGAGGCCTGACCGGAAACTGAAAAAATTAGACCGACAGAAGGGTAGTGACAGACAAACTCCAGTCGTCGAACCCTCTTAGTTAGTAGCGTGAGTCAAAAGCATCGGAGTTATCTTAAAACCTAACCAAATTAACCGGTTATTTCTAGTCTTTTTTCAATCGCACAGCGAATTCTTGAGTACTAACAAAGTCATAAATTGGAGATTCATAAACCAGATGTTCGGTTTACTAAAATTTACTTAATACGGCCTCACTAATTGGTATAAGGCATACGACAGATTTGAGGATATTTAAATCATCGATTTGGCTTTATTAGAGACGGAGCATAGAAGTTCGACCTGGTTTATTTCGTTTATAAGTGACGTAAAATTTTGGATCCCAGTTGATAAATTATAAGCCATGGCTGAAATGCTGGAGGGTTGAGCCAAATGAGCACCCAGACAGAAGCTTAAGGTTTATGCGTTTCCCGTCTAACGATGGAATTTAGATGACCAAAAGGACCAAAAAGCCAGACATTCATTTCGCGCGTTTCAGTTGGTCTAATAAACCCTTTCTACACTGACTAGCCGCGTTGTGCGGCAGAAAAGCCTCCATCTCGGAGGTCAAAAGCAAAGTAGAACACTTGTATTTCGTCCTACAATCTGCTCACGCCTCTTCAAGTCGATCTTAAGATACTTTACGCAGCTCTGAATAAACACGACCTCCACATTTTCCTTGAACGTTCTGCATGCATTGTCAAATAGATATTACCCCTTCCTTTTCTCTACCTGTGAAATGTCTCGATTTAAGGTATGCAAAAGCTCGTGCGACTCTGTGACGCTAAGAAAGCAACCGACCTCAACCGACTATAAAAAAGAAATGACTCATATTGTGATGCTTCGTTTTGATCTTATAATCAACCATATTTATAAATTTCCGCAAGTAAGGAGTATATAATTTTTGTTGAGAAGTTGCGAAATTCCTAAAGGGGAAGCTTGATCTCTCCTGCTCCTGTCGTAAAAATTCCCTCTTGTAATCTTGTGATATAATGCCAAGAATAGAGAAATCAAAATTGAGGGAGTTTAACCTGTGTTTACCTCAATACTTTTCCCACTTCCTTTAATTGCGTGCATTACTGCTATTCTTCAAGCCCCTATTAGTCTTCTGATTGAAGTTTGGGATGTAGTGTCGCTAAGTTTAGTGGCGACAGGGCTATTCACATACTGAACTAACAGGGATTTGCAGAATCTCTGAGAAGAATACCTTTGTTGGTCCTTGTTGTCCGTACTATCTAAAACTATGGACCTCTATGGATTCCTTGATGCCATATTAATGTCCATAGGTTTCGCTTTTACTTTTTTGGATTTTAGGGAGACTTAAGATTACGTGAGTTACAAATAGTATTCTAAATTTACATAATTAAACTTAAATAAATTTTAGCATATGACTTAAAATACTCTGAAAGAACGATAACGTCTGACACTTGTCATATCGTATAATCGCGAGTAAATCGATTTTATACCGGTCCATAAAGACTCGCACGTTTTTACTGCATTAAGGCTGAACGCGCCTGCCTTTTAGACTCTTATTTGAAAGACGACCTCACATACGCAGCACAAATATTGCTACCTTTTTATTATTGAACTAATTTCTTATAATGTTACATATACCTAGTTAGCAGACTTGAATGCAGCATGTTACTCAGTTTCCTTAGGTCTCTTAGCTAGATAAACCCGAAGTATGTGCTTCACAGTCTAGTTGTCTTAGGGCTAGTGTATTCTAAACATTTGTAGTAACGAGAAGCTCTCGCATTGCATGCGTGCAGGAGGCAGGCTTATCATAGTGTTTGTTCTAATGTTAGTGAAAATTACTTTAGACGCGCGTACGAGTCGTGAGAGTATGCTAAGGTTTCATGGACAGGTCACTTCAGATTACTTTAGTTTGGTTGACTGGAAAAAAATTTGTGCCAGATTCTGTCACGAGAGCATTTGTAAATTCACTAGTACATTCCAGCTGAGTCAAATTCACCAGAATGGTAATCCATTTAATAGACTCTCTGAATGGAGAAGACGTAATCCATGTGCATTTTATTCACCAAGTACAACGTTAGAAAACCGATAATTACGCCAGTTAAGTGATCAGAGCTGTACTACAATATCCTTTTCCTAAAAATAAACATGAAAAAACCGGCAAGCTGTCCTGACTTTAAGTTTGGGGAGGCATACCGAAAATGCTTTGTGTCATTGAAATTACGAAGTATTGGAAATTATGGGGAAAAACACAATCGCTGGAACAAGGTCTTTATTCTTCTTCCGTTTTAGAATCACACTTGAATTCAGCATCAGAGACAAAAAATGGAAAAATGTAGTTATTGTCAGTCCGAAAGCTCAGGCGAATAAATTTTCTGTTTTGGCCTTCTTGTCTCTTTCTCGCCGACCGTTTCATAAAACTTGACTTTTTTCTTCGATCGATGTATGGAAGACTGGTAAGCGGCATATGCAGAGGTAAATATTGGCTTTTCAAATGTCATTTACCGTGCAGAAGCCAGCATTACGACAGCAAAGTTATAAAAAAGCTACCATGTCCACGCAGACTAACTGCTACAATGCAGATAAAATCAGTCATTGGTGATAAAAAAAATACATAAAGTACTAGTCACAAATTTGACTAAAATAGTGACAATCTCGCGGTCAGTTAATTTGAATTGGCGGTAAATGTACGAAAGAATAGTCTTCAGACGCGAGGAGTGTTGACTACACGCGCTACTAGATGAATGCTGATGTCAACGGAACATCGAGAGAAATTAAACGGCAGTCTGCTAAGCGGATCTGAAGTGGGCATCACGGGATACTGCTATAGAAACTTCAAAGATAAATAGTGGTAGGAATGCGATTCCCAGATGGCATATCAAAAGGAGGAGAGGCGTTCACCGTGAGGGCTGTATTTGAGGTCTAACGTTTCGAGCGGTTGGTTCGTCTACCCATCTTCAGAGACTGAGAAGTCATGCGCACGGCTCTCCTTATATGGCGCGCTTTGTCCAATGCGTGACCTGCCAATGCCGCCTGTGAGGCTGCATCCAACCTGCATGTCACCGTGACCTAAATCGCCCCGACGGCCGCGGAGGTGACTGACGGCCCCGATTGTCCCACTCCGTGAGTATCCCCCGTTAAGAAGGTTCGCCAAGTCAGATAGGGGGAGAATAATTGATGTGGTGGCTGACAGAGCGGCCGATGGACATCCAGACTTCCTGCAGCTGCCTTGATTTATGGTCACCTGCATTGCAGAAGGGATCATGTACGAGCAAATCAAGGGCATTCCAATGGGTTCACCAATCTCCGGGCTCATTGTCGAGGGGGTTCTACAAAAACTCGAGAAACGACTGTTCGAGAAGTACAAACCACAGTTTTGGACACGCTACCTTGATGACACCTTTGTGGTCATCGACCGGAATAGAGGCAACTACTATGCGAAACTACTCAATTCAATCATTCCCGATCTACAGTTCACGATGAAAGACGAAGTGGAGGACCAACTTCTATCCCTGGATGTTCTCGTCTGTCGCCAACCAAACGGCAATCTACAGAAAACCGGCGGGCACGTCGAAAAAGCTCCGTTACAACAGCAACCACCCGCTACAGCACAAACGAGCCGTGTCCGCGCGCTATACTGACGGGTGGAAACTCATTGCAGCACGCCAGCCACCAAACTGTACGAGATGAAACTCCCCAAGAATTCTCCAAGGTCAACGGCTATCCACGAGCATTCATTGAGCGGAACCACGAGCTATCCACGAGCATTCATTGAACGGAACCGAAGGCAGCCAAAGAAATGGAATGAAGAGCATAGTCAGCCAAACTCGTAGAGGAACATTCCGTACGTGAAAGGCGTCTCCGAAGCCGTGGTTAGACCCCTCGAGCCGGCAGGGATAGGGTTGCCCACAGGTCTGACTCAACAATCCACCGGCAAGTGATATGGCCAAAAGACCCAATCCCTAGGTAGGAGATGTCGGCTGTTGTCTGCCGACGCCAAAGCAGCTGCGGAAGTTGCAACTACGTTGAGGGAAACTGGCCGACGGCTGCAAGCGCGAATGCACGAGCATAAGTTGGCCGTGCGAAGGTTGGGCCCAAAGTCGGAGGTAGCAACCCATGCCGCGCAAATGGGACACACCTTCAACTTTGAAGCCGTTGAGATTGTAGGCCGGGGCGATGATAATACATCAAGGCAGTTGCAGGAAGTCTAGATGCCCATCAACTGCTCTGTCAACCATCACATCAATTATTCTCCCCCTATCTGACTTTACGAACCTTCTTAACGGGGGATAGTCACGGATTGGGACAATCGGGACCGTCAGTAATCTCCGCGGCCGACTGGGACCGATTCAGTTCACGGTGACATGCGGGTTGGATGCAGCCGCACAGGCGGCATTGGCGGGTGACGCACTGGACAAAGCGCGCCATATAAGGGGAGCTGTGCGCATGACTTCCCAGTCTCTGAAGATGAGTAGACGAACCAACTGCTCAAAACGTCAGACCTCCAATACAGTCCTCACTGTGAACGCCTCTCCTCCTTTTAAACTTCAAGGACTTTAAAAAATATGTTCGCGGCACCCAATCTTTGAATTTGTTGTGCTGGTTTTTGCGTATAAGCTGGCTTTTTGACAAACACACATTTCTTACATGGATTGGAAGTTAAATAGCGGACTGTAAACCATTTGCTAGTTGATAACTAGCTCCTTTCTTAGCATTGTGTAAAGTTTTATCGGCATATCTAAGAATGACATGCAGTTCGTATCTTTGCAGGTTTAAACTAGAATTTGTAATGTGCGTGCTAATGACAACTAACAAGTAGCTGCATGTGAGACTGACTTCTTTTTCCGCGCAAGTTTCCTGAGCCAGTGAAGTAGATTTAATACTATTGTGCAGGATTGTTTGCATATTCCTTTTTGACAATTTACGAAGTAGAGGCTCTGATACTAAGGTGAATTGCACACATATGACTTGCGATGCCGTACGCATTGTTTAGTCCGTCGGATTAGAGGCCTCTTGAATATAGTACCATCGCATTCCAAATTTTATCTAACGAAACCTTAAACGCATGCGTCAGGGTGATGCAGCTCGTGCCGGCAGACAGTCAACAACGCGAAAATAAATATTTATTGATTTATCTATGATGGAAGTATTGCCAGCCAGTCACCATTTGTAGAATTTGGTTATTCGGCGTGCCTTATTTTATGAAGTTCGAAAAGACCTCCAAGAAACGGCGGTTTGTAACATGTTTGCTGATTGAACTGCAAATTGCTGAAACATTCATTTATGATTAGTTAGTTGCTTTGCTCCGTTTTGTGGCCTTGGTATCCGATGTCAGTGGTTTTATTCGATCGTGGTAGTACGCGTGATGATAACACCTTTCAATAAATAATTGCTTACCCCCAATTGTAGCTTTCTACGCTTCAGTGAGCGCATATATGTGTGCGGGTCTGAGTGTTATGAAGCGTTCGTGGTCAAGATATAAAATACCGCCAACTGCAGCCTACGGTCACCATTGAGAGCGGAACGGGTGCAACAGATAACTCCCATGAGCATAGGGCCTCGGGAGACAGCAGCATCATCAAGGTGACAGAACTGGCAACTACAGTGGACTGAGCGCAGCATCAAAAACTATACCGACCAAAGTAATTTGGAGTAAAATAAGCCAAGCCAAACATGGCTATAAACTACGGCATCGCAGGTGAAGATACATATGCTACCAACAATAGGACTTGAATTAGGAGTTTAAATAAATACATCTGTTTTATTCTCAAAAATAGAACACGTGCAGTGTTCCTGTGTTAGGCAGAGATATGATGCTGAGCCTATTCTTTCTTGTGTTTTATCGACCAAAGCCATAGGCCTCATGTTGGTTAAAAGAACACGTAATGTGCGATTATTACTTGCGCTCATATGTGTATATTCAGGTGAGCTAGAAGGTAAAATGCAGCTTTAGGAGTTCGAAGTTTGAACCAAGTAATAGTAGATAAATTAGACATTTTTTATTTTTGAAATTGCAATCTGTAGATGAGGTCTGGTATATGTCCCAAAAGAACAAGGTAGCAAGAGTTGTCAGTTTAGATTTGAAGAAGTTATACATCATTCATGTGCTAAAAGAATAAACCTTTGTTTGATGACGACGTATAAAACGTTGACTGCTTAAATTACGGTACGGAAACGGCGTCTCAGGTTGATTACCAACACACGATTTCAATAAATAAAACTCTTGCTGAGCTTAGGTCTTCCTTTGGACGGAATATAATGCGGAAACTTCACTGAGGGCTAAAGGTCCGTTCTTGACCTGTCAATTTAACAGTATGATAAGAGATAAGAGTGAATGCCAGTTAAGTGGAAAAAAGTGCCCAGAAGTAATAGACTGCCTGAATGTTCATCAGGCGATCATTTGCACACGAGCATTAGGCGAAATAACCAAAGGCTACGCACTCAGTATTGTAAATGTCGGGTTTTTCCTGATAGTCGTCTTTTTTCCAAGAGGGCCTTGACTGCAGCTCACGCCCCATGACTTAAATTCGAATAAGATATAATTTTTGATGTAAACTAGCAGGTGATCGGCAAGAATGTAGGCATCCATGTGAGCCAAATACACCCATCAATAACAAATCATATACTGCGGTTGTATTGATGGTCTCCGCAATAAACATTGTTAAAGGAGAGGGAAGACATTTACGTAAGCCGGAGTTCTTGCCTTAAGGCAGTTCAGTAACGGTAAGTCAGCGTCAGTTAGGATAAAACGTTATTGTTGGCGGTCCTATGTTTCTGGCACAGGACACTATCGAGAGGTAGTTCGAAGCGAAGAGCGGTAAATTAAAGCAACTATCCTGCAAAAAGTGAAATAAAAACGACCGGAAATGTCGATAGTTTTAATTTTGCAAAGGTAAGCGATGTCAGAATGCGTTGGAGTCAGACATCCAGGTAGATAACAACATCCTAACCAAGACTTATTCCCACCAAACTAGCGCAAGATCGGTCGCACTAATTAAAAAGGCTAGGAATTGGCGACGCTAGTAAAATAAGAGTAGGAGGGCAGGGCTGTCACGGGAATAAGAGGCAACTACTAATAAACGGCTGTAAATGAGGCCAAATAGTTCGTAAAGTAGGACAAAATCTGTCCAACGATCATTCGAAGCACTTGACTATCTACGTCGAAGGTGTTCATTGAACAGAATCCGAAGACAATTTCCAAATTTTTATGGGAAATAAAAGTCCTAGAAAAAATTGTTCCAGGAGGATGATTTTTGAAACAAACTCGCCAGGCCCCCAATCTACAGTTAACTTCTATAAACCATATGTTTGCTTGTCAAGAAATATACTTAGAGGAAAGAGGAATAAGAGCACTTTTGCTATTATGAGTGGTTACGAGGATGTTGTTTAGATCGGGCGGCTTAGCTCTTAGATAATTATAACTCCCCTTTAGAAAAGTTTCACTCTATTTTTACCTTTAGAGTGGTCTTCTGATTTCGCACTTCTGTCTGCCTAATTGCATCGGAATGTCTGATAAGGCAAGAAGGAATCCTAGTAAAATGTCAAATTTTTCCCGTTCACGGTTCATCAACGATTTGAAGCGAAATAAAGGCTCAAAAGACTTTTGAGTGCGTTATTTTTCTTCGGATGCTTTGCTTCGCACCACGTACGATACCTCCTCCAATTCCTCAGTGCGATCATGACAACTGCTGTCGATTCCAGACACTCAAACCCAGTTTATGTTACTTTGTTTACACAAGCTATTCACACCTAAGAAGAAGCATTTAGTGCTCCCGACTTTGACTTCTGGCGTGGAACTCAAAACTATGCCAAATTTGACACTTTTATCTGAACTGGGTTATAGAAGCTTACTGTAGGGTGTGATATAACAATTCGTGAGCTTTCTGAACTGGTGCAGCAGTCGATCGTCAGCGACCGCGGCAACCTCGGAGATAGCAACGATTATGGATGATATAAGCCAATAAACACCTAATGCGCAGGTTTGAAGGTAAGTGCACAGGGCTCTGTATACTGGTGTTAAATAAATACACCTACTGACTTAGTTCTTACCAGAAGCCCAGGTTTCAACTAACAATGGTTTTGTTTCCAGCGTGTGCGATTATCTTGCCAACTGCGGAGTTGAGCGCGCAATTCTTTTTGAAGTAGTTGGTAACCGAGCACAGGACATCCGAGGCTAGTATCGTATTGTGATTTGTATATAGGTTTTTGTTTCTCTAAATGGAAAAGCCGGAAAAGAACGTAGATTTGGACGGGTACTTTAGGCTTATCAGTCGCCGCCAGTTGGCTATGCTCCATATTCGGGAATCAAACTAAAATTGCTTTTAATTTAATCTCGCATAAATTACCCTTCTATTAATACATGGGCTCGTTTGCTTGTTTGTTGTAATCAGCGAAAATTATCAACGTGGCGGAGCAGTAACCACAGCGGTTATTGTGGGGAATATGTACTCTCGCCGTTACTTAGAGCTCTCCGGCTAATACTCCCATCATAACATCGCATAGCGAATGGTAATGTAGTATCATCGGACACCATCAGATACAGAAAAGATCTGGAGGAAAACTTTGGTTTAGTAGGTGTTGTCAAACTCTAATTTCCCACTGTCGGTCTGGATAACCTAGCATTCTCACCCGACCTCCTGCC